CCGGGGCACGATACATTTGTGGCTCCACCCTGTCTAATGCCTAACGCGAAGTGATAATGTATCGAAACATGATGATTTTCTCGATATGCTGCGTTGAACTAGACCATGACAATTGACAAGAAATGTACGGGAAAAGACATATTTTCAGCATGATTTGATGGAAGCTAAGGTACCGCTCTTCTAGTTGATGATGTTTATGGTGAAGTGTCAAGATCTTGTCTATATTATTGGTACCTTGTGATGGTGATTTTGGTGGGTCTATCTTGAAGCCATCGATCCATGATGGTGAATTTTAGTTTTTGGAGCACGTGTCAACGATGGGTTTCATTAAGAGATATCTTGAAGAAGGAATGTATGTAGTGGGCCTGGAGAAGCAGAAGCCCATGGCTATGAGACCGGTAGCGCGGCACCAATCAGAACCACAAAAGAAGTTTCTCAAAAAAAACTGCAAAAGAAAATTAGTTCAAAAACTCAAACTATACGTCAATCAAATTGAAAACGAAATTTACGTGATGGCAACCCCACCAAGGACATGACAGCACCGGAGGAAAACGAGTTTGAATTTTCGTTACAGTTTAGTGTGCGTGTCGGTACTTCTCTGGAGCCAGGCCATCACCCCCTCTCTCTCGTCCGTCCATATAGCTATCATCCATTCATCGCCATCTCCCGCCAAACAAATCCTCCAATGCCTCCTCAATTATGTATTAATTGTCTTCTTCCTCAAGCCCTATTCACATATGTGATATGTCCCATGATATTAGAGGTGGGCAGGGGCCGAATTTGTTGTTTTCACCCGTTTGCTAAACTTAAGCACGATCTGACCCCGGTAGCATGTCTGTGATGCGTGTGTGTGCTATGGGCAGGCAGAGACAAGCTCTCCTCGTGATAAGATTGACAGAATATGTGTCTGTGGTTTAGATTAGGATGTGGTTTGATGGACTTTCCTCGAGCAAAAAAGCCAAGCACCTACCGCCGGCAGTAGGTTTATATAGGGGCTGTTTGGTTCTAGGCCTAACATTGTCACATTTTGCCACACATTTTTGTCAATCTTGCCTAAGGTTAGTTTATCAAAATGAGAGCCACAAGTTGACAAGCCTAAGGGAATCTTGCCACACTTTTTGTGTGTATGCCATGTGGGGCCCAAGTATGGCTTGCCTAAGGTGTGGCTGGAACCAAACACTCACTTAAGTTGGTCAAACTTGTCTAACCTTAAGTGCAACAATTTTTGACAAAGTTAGTCGCAAACCAAACAACCCTATAGCCTACCGCCAAAGGCCCTGGTGGTAGCATATTTTTCACGCCAAACGGGCGTGACGACGTAGTTAATTGCTACCGCCATTGATCTTGCGGTAGGTTGTGTATAACCTTACCGCCTCGTCCTTGGTGGTAAAAAAAGGGTTATATCCTGAATTTTTTTCGAACTGAGAAGTTTAGCAAAAGGGTCAAAACAGTGAATTCGGCCATGGGCACGCGATATGCTTTCTATTCCACACATATACGTGATGCGATGGTCGGAAGATGACCGCCCGTGGTTGATCTGCTGCTGTCCAGTGCCCAGCGGTTCAACGTCTCTCTCTCTCCCTCTCTAAGAGAGAGAGAGAGAAAACCACTGGGTCATGTGATGTGATAGCAGGTCATCATGTGTGGTGTGTCTGTTCCCGCGCTAAAGAGGTTCACAGCTACAGTGGACGAGAGATGCACAGCCACCCAAATGTGTCGTGTGTGAGGGAGATCTGAAATCATCCACATGCTCAAGTTGGAGCCACAAATTTCCTTCTTCATTTTACCCTAGACTAGTACTGTAGCACCGTGACTTTTCTTCTGAATGTTAGAGGATCTGATTTCATTTTCAAGAAGGCAAAAGTCAAGGTTCTTCGCTTTGCAAAGAAATAAATCACATGCTTCACTGCATGTGCAAGTGCACACAGGTAAATTGTAACCCCTGTTTCGTCCAGAGCAGAACTGTACGGATGCATTAAATGAAAATCTATATACGCATACTACACATATGTATATTGCATGTAGAATTTTCCAGGTCTTTTTAGCTGTCTTGGAAACCTCATTTCGGTTTTTCTTCCGTTCGCCCATTATCCCTTGTAGAATGTAAATATAAATGCTCTAAATTAATGTAATCCCGTGAACAGCCCCGCAGCCAGAGGAGAGCAATCCAGTGTTTTTTTTGTTTGTAATGTTGGCAGGAAAGTGACAAATTCATTGGTTAGAAAGGGGTGTTGCAAAAGGCCAACATGCCTAGCAATGTACAAATAACAGGAGAAAACTCAGACATGAGAGCGGTTAGACTCTTTCGAACCATGTTTATTTCAAATAAAGATATAAACACTGAAAAAGAAATACAGCAAGATCTAATGTATTTCTTTTTCAGTGTTTATATCTGTATTCATCTGGTTAGACTCTTTCGAACCATGTTTACCAATAAATAGCTCGCTGTAATTGTTTTTTCATTTTTTGTTTTTTTCTTCTGAAATCTCAGTGATTCGCAGTGTTATCACTTATCACGTCGAGTCATGGGCTTCATGTACGACATATCTTACCAAACACAAGTGGTAGGGATGATAATGGCCAAAACCGTCTACAAAACCAGCTATATAGGATATGGTAAGAGCTTTTAGCTTCCAGATACAGTCCCATTTGAATTATAGTTTGGTTGTTGTTCCTAATATACCACAATGTAGGATAATCAATTTATTAGTCAGATTACCAGGCCCTTCAAATATGGCTATCTGATTTTTTAGTTACATTTTATTTATTAAAATTTATTAGGAACAATAAAAAACATATTAGTTAAATTATATGGTCATGTGATTGAACTTACTTGCCATTGTGTTGTGTTGCAGTTATGCGTCCAACTGTCGAGAAATAACCCCAACAGATGGGTGCTTTTTGTGGAAGCGAAATGTTGGCTCTCGGGTGCCAGCGCACCCTATATGCGCATTTTTAATAATTTCAGAAAAGATTAAAAAATCCGAATCTTTTTGGCATCAAATATGATCAAGTATTGTACTCATATAAAAAGCTTGGCCAACGAATGATTCCTGTTGACTTCAGGGCAAGAAAAACAAATTTATGATGCCAATATAGCAAAAACAATACTTTGTATACAGCGGTTTTTGGCAAATCTCTGACCTAGGATACAATGAAAATCATTCCCTCGTGAATCTTTTTATACGAGTACAATGCTTGATCATGTTTGATTCAATAAGTTTCGGAATTTTATGATTTCCTTTTAATTACTAAATTAATTTTGAATATAGGGGGCTGGCACCCGAGAGCACAAGTGTATTTCTCGTTTATTGTTTTCATTCTTACTGCCAACATGGGAATTTATAGAAATGTTCATTAAAAGGGATAAAGACCTCAACACATGATCTATTCTCTAGCATAAATATTATTTGTGAGCTTTCTAGAAAATGGTGGAGACAAGGAACCATATTTGCTATGCTTGGTTTACCAAGTCTTGAACCTAGCAACAATCTTGTCACTGCTACATTTGAGAGATGTTTTTCGACCATGAGAATTGTAAATATATTTGCTCTACACACACACACACAGAGAGAGAGAGAGTAATGATGCGGTCATGAAAGAATATTGGGGCCTATTTGGAAGGGTCACGCTACGCGTCGGCTGGCGGATCTTTCTAAAAGATCCGCCGCCTCGGCAACTTTTAGATCCAGAGCGATGAAAAATCAGATGGAACGTCCATACCATGCAACATGGGCAGTGTTGCAGAATTCTTTGCAACAAAGCTTATTACATTGCAGAAACCTTTTGCGACATAGGTGAATGATTTTTTTCTTCACTATTTTTGCAACATGGGTGTTGTCTTGGAAGAAAATTCGCAACACAGGTAATGTTGCACAAATTTACAGTTTTTTTTGTCTTTAATTTTTTTGCAACATGGATTTTGTTGCAGAAGGCAATTTTGTAATACATATGATGTTGCAGAATGTTTTTTGTAAAAAAAAAGAGACATGTAAATGACACATCACACACAGAAGAAGTGGCGGATCACTCCGGTGAGATCCGTCAGCTGAAGGCAAGCGCTTTCCTATTTTGAATGTAATGCTCTTAATTTTAGGCACAATTGCACAAGTCTATTTAATATGTCACTAGGTGATTTTTTTTATCGGCCATCGAGATCCACTCTCTATAATTTGCCACCGCTAATAATATTTGCTTCCACAACTTAGAGTTCAGTATACTTTATTGCTCAAGTACATTCAACTAATATCTCAAGTGAAACACTTTATTTTGGGGAGCACTTCTACTGGACATATTAGACATTTTTCATCGCTGAGTATATTACTTTTATGTATAATATTACTTGATATTCACACGCATAATGCACACGTGGACACCCGGACGTTTTCACCCCAAGTCCGGGCCATTGATCAACTTTGTGAATGGCACCAAGACCGCCAATTCTCGGACATCATAGCATAACCCGAGTATTGATGTTAATAGTTTTGACTATTCTGAGCTCCCTCCTGTTAGCAGATTATTTTTCTGACGTATTAAAAACAGCGGACTTATTTCTAAACACTGTTAACATTGTAAAGCTAAAGTGAAAGAGTAATGCTAGACACACGGGCTTTTACAGGGGATTTACTTAGTGGTTAGGATTTGATTGGTTGAGGTTTAATTAAGTGAGGCTGGCCCATCACTTGAAATTAGGAGGAGCCAATTAGAGGAGGGAAGGCAATGAGTCCGTGAAAGTCCGTTGTTCCTTTGCCCGTGAGTCTAGTATTATCGACAGTGAAACAAAAATGCTACATCGACGGGCATATTACGGATTTACGGGCCATCAAGAATTGACGACTCGAAAGCCAAAACTAACCCAATAGAACCATGTAAGAGTCCGTGCATGTAGCATTGCCCAAGTGAAAACCCCGGTCACGGCAGCCCAGCTCTATATAAACCGCGCTGGCTCACTAACTTCATGCATCCAGAGTCCACCAATTTTTGTTTCGAGCGCCGCCGCGATGGAGTCACACGCCGTTCCTAGCGAGCAGCCCGCGTACAAGCCGCTGCCATCCACCGCCAACGAGGACGCCCATGAGCACCAGGGCGGCGGCGTGAGGTGGCGCGCGTGCGCTGCCGTGCTGGCGGCCTCGGCCGTGGTGCTCGTCGCCGCCACCACGCTAGGAAGAGGAGCCAGGGTGGACGAGGCGGCCGACGAGGACGCCGGCGGGTTCCCGTGGAGCAACGAGATGCTGCAGTGGCAGCGAGCCGCGTTCCATTTCCAGCCGGAGAAGAACTTCATGAGCGGTACGTGACTAGTTCGTTTTCAGATTCAAATTCCGTTTGTGTTTCTCTGGCGTGGTTTGATCCACAAACTGATGTTGCTGTCTTTGCTTTCTGTTTGCCGGCGGCGGCGGGCTACTCCGGCGACATGCAGATCCCAACGGTACGTTAGTGCTCACTGACTGAAACGGAGATTCCACGTGGCATATATGAAAGTTGGATAAAATATACTACTACATGAGTAGAAGAACACAATAACGTGGTCTTCCTTCCCAAAATACGATACAAAATTATAAGGCATATATATTCTCAAAATCTCAAAAATATATTATAAGGCATACTTTTTGTGTCCTAACTCCTAACTCACTTTGTTAAGTTTAACCATGTTTAAAAAAACTCAACAGCGCTGCAGTACCAAGTCAGTATATCAGTGGATCCAGTGCGAATAATGATTTTATTGAAAACTTATATGCCCTGTATTTTTAAACAAACAGGGCTGAAATTATTTGACCAATACATATGTTTTCTGAACCTCACCCAAAGGAATGGATGAAATTTCTTCCGAATTGAAAGCCGAAACCATGCATTTTTATAGCTACCCAAAGAAACATATGTGAAAATTGAGTTGGTGATCTAAACATGAGGTGGTCAAGGAGGGCAACAAGGACTGATTTGATTGATCTGATTAAGCACTCATTGCAGGTCTGGTATACTACCGTGGATGGTACCACCTGTTCTACCAGTACAACCCGAAGGGCATCGCCTGGGCCTTTGGCATTTTGTGGGGCCATGCCGCGTCCCGAGACCTTGTCCACTGGCGCCAACTCCCATTGGCTGTGCTTCCTGACCAGTGGTATGACATTCAAGGTGTCTTGTCAGGCAGCATCACTGTGCTTCCTAACGGCACGCTCATCATGCTCTACACTGGTGCCACCAATGTCTCCACCGTCGAGGTCCAGTGTGTTGCCGTGCCCGAAGACCCAAACGACCCCCTCCTCCGTCGCTGGACCAAGCACCCCGCTAACCCCGTCCTCTCCTCGCCACCGTGGATCAGCACCAACGACTTCCGAGACCCCACCTCCGCGTGGTATGATGGCTCTGATCACACATGGCGCACCGTCCTCGGGTCCAAGGATGATCACAATGGTCACCATGCCGGCATCGCCTTCATGTACAAGACTAAGGACTTCCTTCACTACGAGCTCGTCCCGGGCATCTTGCACCGTGTCGAGAACACCGGCGAGTGGGAGTGCATCGACTTCTACCCGGTCGGTGGCGGCGACAACTCATCAGAAGTGTTGTACGTCCTGAAGGCGAGCATGGACGATGAACGACATGACTACTACTCACTGGGGAGGTTCGACGCGGTGGCAAACACGTGGACGCCAGTGGACCCTGAGGCTGACTTGGGGATCGGGCTGAGGTACGACTGGGGCAAGCTTTATGCATCCAGCTCATTCTATGATCCGGTGAAGCGGCGGCGCATTATGATGGGTTATGTCGGTGAGGTCGACTCCGCACAGGCCGACGTCGCCAAAGGATGGGCCTCAATCCAGGTATATATCTATCTGTCTATACTATACATCGATAGCATATGATTGTTTTATGATCTTGCGGCCATCATCATTGGTTCATTATGCATGTTTACTATTTAGATAGATCAACGCATTGCCTCTTGAAATTGCTGCAGTTGTTAAATCAGTGCAATTGCAATGTTGCAAGCATTCTTCTCCGGTATGCAACGTACATGCATGCTTAAATGTTGATGCCTGCATGGCTGATTGGCTGCGAAAAATGGACCTATACGTAGGCCGCGCCGGCACCCGGCGGAAACATGTTAGCCACATTTTCAATATATGTCTAGTTTTTTTTTTGCATCGAATTGGGTCTTTATTCAAAGAAATAACAGCTGGTTACAATCTGCCCATAGGCTGCTGATGAGAAAAATCAGGGCTTTGATCAAGCCAACTGTATATACTCTCCAGCGTACAAGCACGCTGAGCACATTGGTGGGCCGGAAAATTAAGGTCTCTACTAACATGAAGAAAAACTAGGCACTATAGTCTCCAATTCTTGTAAGATAGGCGCCGCAATCGAACGTGAATCGTGGCGCGAGTTCCAGAGGGTGACGAGATCCAAGCAGTCAACCTCCATGATCACACATGTGAAAACCCATGTAGTTGGGCGAAGATCACCCCTTCTCGAAGGGCCAGCAGCTCGGCCACGAATGGGTCCGAGACTCCTGGCAGGGGTTTACACCATGCTCCCAGGAATGCAAGCATCACTGTACTAGTATTCTTTTCCAACCACTGTCATGCAAAGACAAAACCTTTTCCAACTAATAATATACTAGTTTTTTTTAATTTACCCTCATAGTTGGTGCAAGAAGCTTAAATATTATTCACTTAATGATCGACAGGCCGTCCGCTTGAATTTCTGGAGCAATTTTTGAAGTTCGTTATGTGAAGCCTTTGGCACCATTTTTTGTTCGTGTGGTGATTTCACTAGTAGAAAATCAGTTTTGTTCATTTTTTTAGTTCTTGATTGATGTCAGTGTGCACTCATGAGCTTAACTAATTAACTACGTGCGCGCAGTCAGTTCCAAGGACGGTGGCTCTGGATGAGAAAACCAGGACAAACCTCCTCTTATGGCCTGTGGAGGAGATCGAGACCCTTCGCCTCAATGCCACCGAACTAAGCGACATCACCATCGAAACTGGCTCTGTCTTCCATGTCCCTCTCCGCCAAGCTGATCAACTTGACATCGAGGCCTCCTTCCGCCTCGACGCTTCTGCTATCACTGCCCTCAATGAGGCTGACATCGGCTACAACTGCAGCAGCAGCGGTGGTGCTGCCTCCCGCGGTGCGCTTGGCCCCTTTGGCCTCATCGTCCTCGCATCCAGCGACCGTTGTGGTGAGCAGACGGCGGTGTATTTCTATGTGTCCAGGGGCCTCGACGGGGCCCTTCAGACCAGTTTTTGCCAAGACGAGTCACGTTCTTCACGAGCCAGGGACGTGACGAAGCGGGTGGTGGGAAGCACGGTACCAGTGCTAGATGGTGAGGCTTTGTCGATCAGGGTGCTTGTGGACCACTCCATTGTGCAGAGCTTTGCGATGGGCGGGAGGTGCACAGTGACATCACGGGTGTATCCGATGGAGGCGATCTATGAGGCAGCAGGGGTGTACCTGTTCAACAATGCCACCAACAGCAGTGTGATGGCGGAAAGACTTGTCGTGCACGAGATGGACTCCGCACCCAACGAGATCATCACGGATGATAAATATTTGCATTTTGAATGAAGATCTTGTGTACCAACAGTGACCACCAAAGTATTGGATCAAAGAATCCCAGGGAAGGATAAGACATATCCAAATAATTTTACACGCCCTCGTCGGGGCTGAAACATGTACATTGGACTATTTTGTTTTCCATTCATGACACTTTGAACAATAAATATCCCTCGATATCTGGTTATTGAGGTCATCCAGTTTTTTGGGGGGCGGGAAAAAGGGATAAATAGCTAGTAGTAGTGCGGGTGCCCACGCTACTACTACGGCACTATAGCTAATTGTTAGTAGTAGCGTTGGTGCCACCCGTGCTAATACTACGTCTGTTAGTAGTAGCGCGGGTGCCACCCGCGCTACTACTAATTATCTTTAGCGGGTTTTATACCCCACGCTACTACTATTACTTTCAAAAACAAAAAAATCTCGATCCCGTGCGTGCTGTCAATGGCAGCAGTGGTTCGATTCAGCGACGGTTGGGGTCGCCGGAGGCATGAACAGGCAGCGGCAGACCAGATCCGACGGTGGCTGTTGGAGAGGGCCCGCTTCTATGGAAGAGCAAGGTAGTAGCATGGGGCTCCTCTTCCCGACCATGCCAGATAGCTCCTGGTCGTCCATGGCGACGACCTGCACGGGCATGGACATGGGAGGGTGAGTCAAACTAGAGGGAGAGAGAGAAAAAGAAAACCAAGGAAGAGAGGAAGGAGATGGAGGGACCAGCAGGGCCGGTCACCGGTGGTGAGGTACTCCGGCATTGTGGTGCGAGGCGGCGGCCTCCTAGACGCCGACGGAAGACCGGCGAGCTCCTAGACGCCGGTGGCGCGAGGAGGCGGCCTCTTTCGGTGCCATGGAGGAGGACGGGCGCATGGGCAAGAGGTCCATGTGAGAGCGTATGGAGAGAGAGAGAGGAGAAAGTGGCGGAAGAGAGGAGGGATTTGGGGGAGGAGATGGGGATTTCAGGGCTGTTAAAAACACTGTACTTAGTGGTAGAGAGGGGTATAAACCCGCGCTACTACTATCAACTTAGTAGTAGCGCGGGTTTATACCCCTTGCTACTATTATGGCATTGTCCCGGGGGCATAGTATAGACCACTTAGTAGTATCGAGGGTTATAAACCCGCGCTACTAGTAAGTAGCAGTAGCGAGGGGTATAAACGCACGCTACTAGTAAGCGTCTACCTATAAGCTTTTCCCTAGTAGTGGGAGCGGGACGATTTCGCAGATCCCTAGAACCATCACCAATAATCCATTTTATTCTATGTCTATATATTTGTGTAAACACTATGAATACTTAAATTTCACATCACCATTATTCAGAATAGTATGTTACTACTTTCAACAAGTAAACATCAATTCAAATACACATTTCCCGAGTTTAAATTTTAGGAAAAATTCTATATCAAACAGGTGACATATAGTTTAAATAAAATATACAGCTCAAACATACAACATCACCCACTCCTATTCCCACTTCCACTCACAACCCCCCCCCCCCTTCTTTGATGCTAGAATTTTTGCTTTCGCCAACTCCAAATACTTCATTTGCCTTGTAACAAGCCCAATTGGGTTCATGAACATGATATTGAATTCTTGCACCATCTTCTTAGCCTTCACTTCATCTCCAAAATACTTTCAACTTCTCTTCTTCAATTGTCGTCTTGCAGTCCTCACATTCTACCTTGTGCTTCTCCACAACCTTGACCTCCAACTACCTTGCTTCCTTATCTTATTTTCTCTCTGCCTCCAACTCCTATATTGCTATTATCTCTTTGACCGATGTCTTGAAGAAACTCCATTCTTTTGATTATACTTCTCACCCACCTCACAGGCGGCCCCCTTTTGATATTGATGACCACCGATTAGCTCTGATACCACTTTGGCCTTCCCCTTCATCATCATCATCGACATCAGCATTATTTATGAAGCTCTGCAGTAGATGGTGATTTAGCCTTCTTCTTAGCTAGAAGAGATCTATTGTATCTTTACACTTCTCATTGTGTTGGAGTAATGCCAAACAATGGACCATGACAATTACCCTTGCCCTCGGCTCCCTCTGTTTATACAACTATTGGTGTAGTTGAGGTCCAAAGCTAAACATTTTTTAGGAAATTAGGTGCAAACCTTTTTTTCAGATAGGATACTCACTAGCATTTACTCCTTCATTCACTTGGCTTGGCACATTTAACTTGGGTGACACAACCTGCACACCAATTGCGTTTGGACGATATTGTCACATTTCGATGAAAGTGCTCGACAATGCACTTCCAATAGTCTTCATGTTTTGATCGGTCCCTTCTACTGAATCGAAGCTTACAGTCTCCTGTGACATGACCACTGAGGTACCCCCTCCCCCGTCGAGTAGTTGGTCAACCTTCCCCCATTTTCTTCTTTGTTGTAGAGGCATCCTTGACGACACTATCATCAACTTCCCTAAATGAACTGGACAACGAAATGTCGTCTATGATGAAGGACTCATTCAACATTTCGAGGTATGATTGATCACTACACATATAGAAAATGAACTATTTTTATCCATCATCATCCATACTTTGAAAAATTGCACCGAATTTAATTCATTTAGCATCAACAAATAAAAAAAGGGCAGCCCGATGCATGTAGCTCCCGCTTGCGCAGGGTCCGGAGAAGGGTCCGACCAATTGGGTCTATAGTACACAACATTTCCCTACATTTTCTGTAAGAGCATGTTTCCAGGACTTCAACCCGTGACCTCAACAAATGAAATAAAAAAACCTTTCTGACGTTTGCTCGAAGTTTCCAGGGCGTCGTACTCATCCTTCTTATACAACGTTGCAACAACAAGAGTTGCGAAGGTGAAGGCTGCCTGATATGGCGCGTAGAAAGGGGGAGGAGGTGGTGGAACGGTGAAGGGACAGGAGATAATGCGGCCACCGTGGTCCTCAAAATCTTTGATGGTGCGGTGGATCCGCCGATGCCTCCCTCCCTCCCCAACAACAGAGGCAGGGCGCGGGCCGGCGGCTAGTTCCGGTGGTAGACCGAGGCCTATACATTGTTGCAACGTGGGACACAAGGGCAGGGGGTAGTCGACTGTGCGACAGGGTCGGCGCGCAGATAGACGAAGAGCGCCAAAGAGGGAAGGGCCAAAGGGAAGTGGTGCAACCATCCACGTCGACACTCTTGCGGAGGTTCGTTGAGGAAAGATGGTGGCACGGTGGCGGAGATAGGATCAACGCGGACAGAAATCATGTTGTTTCTTCGGGTATCTCTTCCTCTATAAGTGGAGAGTTAGGGTGTTCTTTTATGACCACTATAAAAAAAGGGAAACCTGAGCTATTAGAGGATATTTTTTTAGCTTAACCAACCCTGCACCAGAAATTTGTTGGGGATAGTGGAGCAACCGGAAATTTCTCTTATTATGAAGCAGACCAGGCCAAATTTCCCATTACATTTGCAGCAAAACGCTACTGGGCATCTCACTTGCACATCGAGAACTCACATCTAGAGAACCACATGCCTATGCATCTTCACATCCTCAGTGACTACCGCGGTGAGCAGTGAGCATTTCCTTAACTATTTGACACAACGGGCGTCAATGAGGAGGTCTCGAATGGGACCTCCCATTTTGTCCAGTACGCGCACCGAAGACGCGAGACGCGCACTCCACGCTCGTGAATTTGAAAGAAAATTGAAATTTCAATCAATGTCATGATGTTTTAAAATGTTCATAGAATTCAGAAAAAATTCGTGAATTTCAAAAATTGTTCACAAATTTCAGAAAGTTCATGAATTGAAAAAATGATTGCTGATTTAGAACATGTTCATGAATTCGAAAAATGTTCATGCATTTTCAAAAAGTTTGTCAAAAAAATATTATTAATGAATTTAAAAAATTCTTCCAAACTTTCAAAAATTGTTCACTGATTAATAAAATTTTCAAGATTTCCGAAAATGTTCACGATTTCAAATAAAGTTCAATAATCTAAAAATGTTCACTATTTCAAGACAATGTTCATGAATTTGGAAAATGTCCATGATTTTCAAAAGTGTTCATCAATTTCTAGAAAATGTTCATGTCTTTAAAAATATACATGCTTTCTAAAACAATTCATGATTTCGGAAAATGTTCAAGAATTGAAAATAAATTATCAAAATAAGTAAGTAAAATAATAGAAACTAAAGTAAATCGGAAGGAAATGAAAAACTAAAAAAATATGAGAAACAAATAATTAACAATTCAAAATTTAGAAAATGTAAAAATGGAGAATAGAAAAAAAAGGCTAGATGAAAAGTAAAAAACCAGGAAAAAGCATTAAAAAAAATCTGGTTCACAGAGTTCTAGAGAACCTTTCAATAACTGGTCAAAATATGTTGAAATGTGCCGGATCATACACTGGAGAGGTGTAGTGCTCGCGTGCTCGCCAGGTCGCTAACAAGCGACCTATTTGAAGCATTCTGCGTCAAACGGACGTACCTTCGCACAGGATGCGCGTGAACGGGCCGGCCCATTAATATTAACTCGCGCCAGCAAAATTTCGTAAAAATAAAATTGCGCCAGAGCTGGAATTGGAACTGCAGCCCTCCCGCGTTTGCAAGCGCCTTGATAGCCACCACGCTCACTGAACTGTCGTGGTGAATATTTGGCTCGAAGATAATGACCTAAAAACAGCGGTGTAAATTGAGCATTACTTAAAAACTGCAAACAATTTTTTGAAATTACGAATACTTTTTGATATACGTGAACCAAATTTAAAATATCCGAACATCTTTTGAAGCTGTGAATAAATTTTAAATTCCTGAAGATTTTTTGAATGTATAAAAAAACTTGAAAAATTGTAGATCTTTTGAAAATCCGAACAATTTTGTATAACACGAACATTAATTTACAGAACATTTTTTTCTAAGACATGAATAATTTTCCAAATTCAAGAATATAATTTGAAAATGCAAACATTTTTTAAATTGGTGAACAAAAATTAAAAACAGGTACATCTTTTGAAATGCAGAACAAAATTTTGAATTTGAGAACAATTTGAAAA